CTTCTCCATTTTTCCTGTTGAAGGTCAGAAGGTCAGGGAAGCATTGGGTCATCACATATTGAATCCTGAAGACTCTGCCATGTACCTGTTTACCCAAAGCTCTCTATACATGGTGTAACTGATGCCCCTAACTAAAACTCAGTTTCACTTGCATAACATGCACATATCCAAACTCATATCACTTGACAATTACTCAACTTGCAAATGACATGCCTAAGCATTCTGTTTCTGAACATTGAAAAAGAAACATACTAAATACCTAACAAGAAATGTTAGGTATTTTACTTTACTGTTCTTTTACTTTACAATCTTACCATTACTATCTTTACTCTTTACTTTACTATTTCTGTATGCATTTTTTTCTTTTCATATATTAGAAATATTTAATCAATACTAATGATAGGAAAACTCTATAAGGTGAAGGTAACTCTAACCACACTTTGTTATAAATTCTAAAATCATTTAAGACCCAAAAGACTCTAGAGATTGCATATTTACTTAGAATATTTACTTACAAATGTCTTGTAATAATCTCTGAAATACATGAACAGCCCTAAAATACTTAAATCTGCTCCTCTACTAAAATGATCAGAGATCTACTTATATATGACTTTCAAATATCTATTGTTAATTTTTTTTAAATTACAATACTACACTGATAATACAGATTTTTGTTTCTCTGTTACAGGAACATTCTCTTACATATCTGATCTTGATCATAAAAAAATCATGATATGTAATTTGAAAGTTGTCTCATATGGAAATAAGAAACTATATTTTGTGAAAAAAGCACAAATTATTTCAGGACAGCATTACTTATTATTTATGATCCATAACTGGTAACACAAAACAGTTTCAGGTTTCATATCTCTCTTCTTGCTAAATCTTTTACTGTCTAATTCATTATTGCTTCCATTAATATCAAAGGTTTTAATCTACTAATCAAGTCATGGCAAAAAATGAAACATGCTTTTTCTTTTTCTAACAAGCAGATATGGTGAACATTATTTCTTTAGGTTGGATTTTGATAACTTAACTTGACAAATTTATAAATCTTAAAGTTAAGGGAATAAATAAATGATGGAACCTATTCTCGAAATAAAGGATGTCCTTTTCACTACTAAGACTTTTCACCTTTCTCTCATTAATGGAGGTCTTGAATTTCACAGTTTGACCAGAGAGTCTAACTGAATAAGTATGAATTATGCATAAATTTATGTCCTAGGCCTGGAGGTTGCAAGGAAACTTTTAAAATACTGAAGTGCAGAAATTCCCTCAGACTCTTACGTTATATTCAAAATATGAATGATACATAACCAAGACAGAAAAGTAAGATCTTCATCAGTTTAAATAAAATCACCCTTTTTTTATGACCTTTCAACAACACACTTATTATCCCATCTACTCATTCTTTCAGTCTTTACCAAATGTAATCTCTACCTGGTACTCTTGGAACTTGTACGCGAGTTTGAGAGAGCCCAACGCAGTGCTCTCCTATCCTGGACATGTTGCTGAAGTTCTAGCGTCTTCCGGATAGAGAGCATGGGGAAAGTTTGTAGTGATAAAATTCCACCACGAACATATGGCTGCACCCTTACACTAAGTTTATGTGTGAAAAAATGTCTGTATTTGGTTAGAACACTGTGTACTTGCTACAGATTGATGACCATGAGACGCATATCTAAAAATAAGGTTTCAGCTGTAGTTAGGTAGAACATTAAAGCTGTGTTACGCTGCTTTAATACTTTTAAAGGCATTCCGGGTCCTGTTAAGACTTGTTATTTTATCTTGTATAAATCTAAATATGGATTCAGAGCTATACATATACTGTCATATAAAGTAGTTGACAAGAAAGCTGGAAATAATGAAAATTAAATAGCAAAAAGAGTAAAAGAAGAAAAGAACTCATATATTACCTGGTTTCTCTGTCTTACAAAAAGATGAAATTTCTCTTAATAATTATCAAGGCATTTATTTTTGTCCTAGTTAATACAAGTATAATAACTGCTACAGTCTATCTACATACTTTTGTTCTACTTTATATGTATATATACATATGTATAAGTATATACATACAAAAAAAAAAATACATATATATATATAAATATACATATATACATATATACATATACATATATATATATATATATATATATATATATATATATATATATATATATATATATATATATACATATATATATATATATATACATATATATACATATATATACATATATATACATATATATACATATATATACATATATATACATATATATACATATATACATATATACATATATATACATATATATACATATATATACATATATATACATATATATACATATATATACATATATATACATATATATACATATATATACATATATATACATATATACATATATATACATATATATACATATATATATATATACATATTTTTACATATATATACATATCTATACATATATATCTATACATATACATATCT